ATCAGAGCACCCCGTGTTTGGTGGAACAGACTTCAACCAGGGTCCCCGGAATTCTTCAGATCGCTGGCAGGGTTTCTTAGTCTGAGTCATCTTCAGGTTCTTGTCACACTTTCTTCTTTTTCATAGGCGCCATTTTGTTTGATTTTTTTACCCCCTGAAGGAACGCAGCACCCCTCTAAACTCAGTACTTGTCAACAGAAAGGGGAGCCAACCATTCGTGGCCCTCCTCTCTTCCCACTTGCGTGGTTCCAGGTCTCTGCTGGGTCTCTTGCTGAAGGCCAGGCAAACATGGACAGCCAGTCTAATCCCGAATTTTCAGCAGGAAAATGTCTACCCCTAACATCTGATTCTCAGGGATGCTAAACAAACACAGGACAAAGAAGTACATGTGTTAATGTACCTGGCCACAGCTATTCTACGAACTGTTCTCTGCTGTGAAGGACTTTGTCTTTCGTATAGGGTACACTCTATTGCCACCTGCTTTTCCCCTGCCTTTTGCCTACTTTTGGGAGACTGTGGTGGCGGCAGAAAATGACCTGGGAAAGTGGCGATGGCAGAAGAAGCAGATGCAGATTTGATGCTCTTCAAGCAACATGTGCAGACGACCAAGAAAGAGGAAGAAGACTAGAAGGAAATTAGGAAAATGTTTTTGGTAGTGAATAGTTTGAAATTATACTCTTAAAATACCTTTATGAATTCAACCTAGCATCAGCATCATCTAAATTATTTTATTATATTGATTATATTATGGAAGCTTAAAAATTCTAGCTTGTTATTCAATGCAAAACAAACTGACAACCACCACCAAGGATGAGTCCAAGTTACCTGAGAATATGAGTCACAAGCAACATCTGAAGAACAAGGAATGGATATGAGAAGCTTTCTCGCAGAGGGGGTGTCCACATCACACGGGTACACTGGAAAAAAAAATCACAGTTATGGTGTATTTGCTACATTTGTTAAGTAAGACATACCAAGTGAAAGCTACTTATAAGTACAAAGAGAAGGTTTTTTTTCCCCACACATAAATTGAAATGGTGTGGTATAAAACAAGCTACTAGGTTTTCCATCAACAGCAAAACTGGGAAGTGAGAACCATTACTGAGAGGGAGACACATATGGCATAAGATAGTGTGAGATATTAACATCATGAATTGTCAACAACCGAGTACCAAAAAACCTCAACTATAGCCTAAAAGAAACGTGGGGAAAGCACCAGCTAGAAAACATTCTGCCAAAATTAAAAACATTTCACTTAAATTGGTTGTGTAAATTGACTACAGTTTGTCTTCTTTTGCATGAATTTCAGCAAAACTGTCCATAA